TGGAGTTATTTCACATGTATACAGCCCTTTTCTATCCTCCCACTTTTTACTTCAGGGATGGGAAACAGTTCTCATGTCTGTATTCTATAAGTTATAAGCTAGTGTATACATGTACATTTACATTGTATTACAAATACTAAGATAAACATAAATTATTATCAAATTATTGTATTTTATGTTCTGCTTGTTTGGTCACTGTCATTCAACCAGAACAGCTCCAAATACAAATACATAGGCTAGGTTCAAAATACCAATATTTTAGCATGTAAGTGAGGCATCCACGTGAAGGTATTGAAAACATAATATATTTTTATAAGGAAGTGTTGTAAAGTTTGGAAATTTAAATGCAAACGTGGTCATAAATGGCGGTCATGGTACATTATATTCCTTAGAATGACATCTAATTACAAGTGCTCGCATTTACTAAATTTTGGTTCAAACAAGAGTTAGTCCACAACATGCTCAAATAGAGAACTCCCAGCTTCTAAAAACTTACTTCCTTATCATTTTTGCATACTTTTATTCCTGGCTGCCTTTCTTTCATGCTAAAATATTGATATTTTGAACCTGGTCTATTTTGAGGTTGAGTGATTTTCATCATAATTGTTTCACTCTTTACTTTTTCATATTTCAATTCATATGATATCTGTATTTTAATGGGACATTTTTTAGACAAAACACCAGCCATAACACCACCCAGTAAGAGAGAAACAAGATCACAAAGCAAAGGATCACATAAATCAAAGAAACAACACAACAAGGAGAACCACAAATCAGTCTCTAAACAAACTCCAAAACCTCAGTACCAGACTCCTAAAAGTACATCAAGGTCAAAATCCACCACAGGGARACCAACYGCACAATCGGTSAAATCCACTAGAAAAGTATCAATCAAAASTCCTAGTAGAAAACATTCAACAAAGGTGGTTGAAGATGTCCTTGCTGGGGATATCACACCAAAGAAAACYCCAGGGAAGGCAGGAAGGTCAGGAAGGAAAAGCCTTGCTGARGGTTTGACTCCCAGCATACCTTGCAGGTCACAGCCTTGTAAAACACCAAGAACACCATTACAAGAAGCAAGGTCAAGGTATCTACCKAATCTAAAATCTTTAAAATCATTGGTATGATTATAGCATATTCTAATAATAAATTTGCCCTGTAGGGATCTAACATGTCCCCAAATCCCATTTTCAATATTGAAGTGATATTCAAAGTTCACCCCCCCTCCCCCTCCCAAATTTAATGTTAGTTACTTGAACAACGCACTTTCATTAATAATGTGTTTGTCTGACCAACTCATTTTGATAATTGCAGATATTATAAGCCATACTTTTCTGTCGACTCAACATCCTGTGTTTCCCTATAAGAGTTGATAATACTGACTTTGAGGAACTTGTTGTCTAATTCTCACTCACTAATGGTTGATTTTATTATTGATGTTCTCCCTTTCTTTACAGGCTCCATGTATCAGCTGTTCCRCCATCTCTGCCRTGCCGTGAAGATGAATTTGCTGACATTCTTGGCTTTGTTGAAGGRAAATTGATTGATGGAACAGGAGGGTAAGGTGGCGTGACAGCAGAATAGTACCCAGTCATTTCTTTCCTTTTCTATTCTTAAAAGTATTGATTAGAAGGAGAGAAATAGGGAGTTATCCAAAAATCAAACTTCCAATTTGTTCAATAATACTGATTGCAGTGGTTGGATCCACTTTTTTCTTTAGGGAGGGATAGTGGGCATTGGGGAAGGGAATATAGTTTTTTTTGTCAAACAAAACAGAATTAAAAGGTCTTCTGTTTGTTTTTTTAAGCAGAACTTCTATTAGTAATTATAGGGTTTTATCATTTGATTCGTTCTTTTTAGTTGTATGTACATATCTGGAGTACCGGGAACTGGAAAAACAGCAACAGTGCATGAAGTTATCAGGGTTCTACGAGATTCTGAAGATGAGGATATCCCTGAATTCACATTTATTGAGATAAATGGAATGAARYTGACGGAACCAAACCAAGCATACAGCATGCTACTCAAGGTRCTAGTGAAAATAATGATGATGATGACGGAAATGATAATGATGATGGTGATTATGATATTTGCAATGATGATGTTCTTTCTCTTGTAGAAATTGACAGGCCAAAAGGCAACTCCAGCACATGCATCAGATTTACTAGAAAAAATGTTCAGCACAAAAAGCACAGCAAGAGAGAGTTTGGTTCTTATGGTAGATGAAGTAAGGAGTACACCATTCACAATTCTTCACTCATGTTTTTATTCTTTTAGTTATTTGTCTTTTTAATCCGTTACCGAAAAAAGTAACTGTTGTTATTGTGTTTGTGGGTTTTGTTGCTATTATTGTTGCTGCTGCTGCTGTTGTTGCTTCTGCTRTTATTGTACGTCTGGAGACGGTTCTCTGCGCCATATTGAAAGGTAGCCGTGGCTTTGCATCGAAGCGAGACGACCGTTAAGCGTGCAATGATAGAAACCTTTTTTCACAGGTATCTATCATTGCACTCTCATAGCACGGCTACCTTTCAAGATGGCGCAGGGAACCGTGAAGAAGACTATTTTGGTTGTTTTTGCTGCTGCTGCTGCTGCTGTTATTGTGCTTCTGGACGTTATTGTTGTGGTTGTTATTGCTGCTGTTATTGTTGTTGTTGCATATGTTGTTGTTGTTGTTACTGCTGCTGTTATTATAGCTCTGGATGTTGTTATTGTGGTTGTAGGCGTTGTTGTTGCTGTTATTGCGTCTGTTTCTGTTTTTTTTTTTTTTTGCTGCTATTGTAGCTGAAATCTTTTTTTCTTGTAGCTTGACCTACTGTGGACTCGAAAACAAGGCGTCATGTACAATCTGTTTGAGTGGCCTTCACGTTCTCACTCTAAACTCATTGTACTCGCTATTGCTAATACTATGGACTTGCCGGAAAGAATGATGATTAACAGAGTGCAGAGTAGACTGGTAAGGAATCATACATGTTTCGGGATTCCTTTTGTAGTGCAATGCATCTTGGGCCAGTTTACCTTGTAAATTGAGCACCAAGTTTATAGAGAAGCCATATTCGCGTTCTKTTTAAAATATTGACAAATATTCATAATGGCTGAATCAACTGGTGAGTTCACTTACCAGGAAGTGAAACCTTGGTGTGTGCATGCCTTCAAACTTTATTTAAAGAAGAGAAATCTCAAGATTATCTGGGATAAAAAAAAGGATTGCAAGTGGATATTTGAAATCACTGCATTTTCCTTATATGGAAAATCTAAGACACGACCGCATTGAATGCTGGTTCACCATAGCTCTTTAAGACAGCAGTTACTTATTTGTAYYATWWWTTTTKSMRGGKTTKRMMARRMYTWMYTTYCMAMC